ATCCGGTACGTCGCTTTTTTCTTTGATGTCTGTGTGGTGTTGCGTTGGAGGGGGTGTTGATTGAATTTTGAATGTTCAATATTGATGGGCGTGTGTAGCAAATTCCTTACGGGCTTTCTCTGGGGTCTGCTTCGGTGATTATGATGGTACTGTTTACCTCGGGTGCTGCTGCGAACGCGGGCAGAGCTTTCTTGATGCGCATGGCAGGTTCGTCCATCCCATCCCATCCTTCCCTCCCTTTCTTTTCCGTTACTTTTGTCTCCTACACCGCCCTAGCGCGCTTAAGCGCGTAGCCACTCTCATCCCCGTTTACTTGGTACCCCAAAAACGCTGACACACTCACACGCAGGACAGCGCATAGTCGCCAGACTGCGCGAACGCACATACGAAGCCGCCCTCCGTCAAGAGGTCGAGTTCGTCGAGAAGGGCGAGGGAGACGTTCTGAGCAGGCTTAGCGTCGACTCCAGTATCGTCGGCGAAAGGTTCGTTTTCACATTTGAGGCTCTTGGTTGTCGTGTGCTAATGAGTTTGAATGACGATGACAACGAACGTGTGTGTGCGCGCTATGTGTATTTCAATGTGGATGCGCGTAATGTATGTACAGCGTAACCCAGAACCTCTCCGATGGTCTGCGCGCCATCGTGATGTCAACCGTCGGCCGTGCGTGCTTCTTCCATTTCGTCTCTCTGCGCTGCGTGGTAGCTAATCAATGTGAATGGTACGGGTGCGCACAGTGGGAGCGATGTTCTACCTCTCGCCCACCCTCACCATGCTCATGCTCGCCGTCGTCCCCCCCGTGTCTCTCGGAGCCGTGCGTACAGCACCCCTTTTCCCTCCTGCTTTCAACCGTTTGAGTGGCGGTCTGACGTGTTTGCTTGTTTGTGGTATGTTGTAGGTGTTTTATGGAAGGTACCTGAAAAAGCTGTCCAATAAGACGCAGGAGGCGATGGGTGAGATGACCAAGGTGGGCTTCTACGCTTTACGCCCCCCCGCTCCCCACCTATCCCACATCACGTCCATCAATCTCTAACCTAATCTAACCCGACCTCGCCCTCACACAGGTCGCCCAAGAATCCCTCTCCGCCCTGCGCACGGTCCAAGCGTTCAACGCGCCCCCGCAAGAGCAACAAAAATTCCACGACAGAGTGGGCACCGTGCTCACCCTGGCGCGGAAGGAGGCGGTCGCGACGGGGATCTTCTTTGGGAGTACGGGGTGGAGCGGGAATGTGACGCTGTTGGGGTTGTTGGGATATGGTGCGTGTTCTTGATGGTGTTCGATGTTGGGGTGCTGAATCGTGAATCGTGTGGGTGGTGTAGGAGGCACTTTGGTGACGCAAGGGGCGATTACGGTGGGCGATCTTACGAGCCTTTTGCTTTATACGGTGTATGTGGGAGGGGGTCTTCAGATGTTGACGTACGTTCCATCATTCGCTTCTGTGGGTATAATCCATCTCACATTTTTGGCGTCTCGTAGATCGTTCTTCGTACGTCCCATTCTCGCTCTCAGCTATTGGTAGTCTAACCTCCTCCCTTCCCCTCCTCCCTCCACATCACCTCACCTCACCTACCCCACCCCCAGTCCTCCATCATGCGCGGCGTCGGCGCGGGCCAACGCATATTCGAGCTCCTCGACCGAAAACCCGCCATCCCGCCCCAAACCGGGCTCACCCTCGACGCCTCGAGACGCGGCACGGTGCGGTTCGAGAACATCTCGTTTGAGTATCCGAGTCGGAGGGGGGTGCAGATTCTGGACGAGTTTAGTTTGGAGGTGGGGGTGGGTGAGACGGTGGCTATTGTGTGAGTCCTGTTTTCGATTTTCGTTTGTGGTTGGGTTGTTGGGGTTTTTGGGTGTGGATGATGTGCTGACGAGTGATTTTTTTTTTGGTGTGGCTGTAGAGGCAAGAGCGGGGGTGGCAAGTCGTCGATACATTCTCTCCTTCTGAGGTATTATGACCCTGTCAAGGGAAAAGTGACGTTTGACGGACAAGGTGGGTACGCGTTTGTGAATGGGGAGGTGGGAGGCGTGCAAGTATAGCTGATATCCCTTCGATCCTCCCATAGACATCCGAGAGTTCACCCCTACGTCCTGGCGTCACATCATCGGTACCGTGCCCCAGGTGAGCTCTTATCTCCGCTCTCGTCTATCCAGTCGTAGTGTGTACGGCGGCTCACTGTTCGCGCGCACGAAAAATAAAATTTATAGGACCCGGTTCTGTTCACGGGGACGATTGCGTCGAATATCGCGTTCGGGAACGAGCATGCGACTCGGGAAGAGATTGAGAGTGCGGCGAAGGAGGCGAACTGTGAGTTCATTTGGGGGATGCCGAAGGGGTTCGATACGGAGAGTGCGTTTCTAAGCTTTTGTTCATACATCTGACTGACTGACTGACTTACTCACTCACTCACTCACACGGGCTGATCGACTGAATTTGTGGTCATGATCATGACGCTACAGTTGGCAGACTGAGCTTGAGCGGCGGGCAGAGGCAACGACTCGCGATCGCCCGTGCGCTGTTGAAGAAACCTGCGATTCTGGCTTTGGACGAGGCGACGAGCTCTTTGGACGCGACGTCGGAACATCGGGTGCGTTCTGGGTTTTTTTTTTAAATGCGGTTTTTGTACTTTTTTTTATTAAAATTAATTTTGTATGCACAGGTTAACGATGCGATTGATAAGATCTTGAGAAAGCGTCAGACGACGTGTCTCATTGTGGCTCATCGGCTGTCGACTATTGCTAGGGCTGAGAGGATCGTGGTTTTGGAAGGTGGGTAGTCTTGAAGCCTTTTTTTTTTCTTCACCTTTGACTTGTGTTGTTGGAATGATCTTGCGTCGACGTTGACTGACGTACACTAACCTTTAGACGGCCGGATAACGGAGTCGGGGACTTACAGACAACTGGTTAACAAGAAAGACTCGCGATTCCGTGCTCTCATGTCTGCGCAGCTAAACGCTGCCGCTGGGGAGTCCGTATCGGAACCTGCACCCGCCTCTGAACTTGCAGTACCCCCAACAGAGCTCAAACAGGCCGAAGTCGCTCTATAGACGGGCTGACAAGACCATAGGCATCATCCACTTATCCCAGCGATCCTTCCCGAATTTTCTCTGCGGCACACAACACCCGAGTCGAAATCCGGTATAGACAGAGGGCTGCCCCTGAGGGAAAAAAGGGGGACGAGGGAGGGAATCTTAGAAATTAATTATTCACTTATCATTTTAGACAATGTGTAATGGGCATGTTGACATCCGATCATCCTCTATCTTTATTCGCTGCTCCACTCTTTTCCCGTTGCGTTTTTATCTGACAAGATTAGGGGGTCTGCGATGGGTGCGGTTTGTTGCGGTATGTGTGTTGGAGAGACATGTGAAGGACACATGTCTGGTGATGTTGTTGATGAGAAAAATGACTTTTAGGAAGCAAGCCCTCTGCCCCAGTGCGGCCACGGGTACCTCGACGTCCTTACTTTGTCGACCATGTCTTTACCATCCCCCTCGAGTCCATCTCATTCGTCTGCACTGCCGTCCCCGCCTTCGAGCGATGGAGGCTACTACACAAGTGCACACCCACCCCCCGAGGCAATCAAGATCAACGAGGTCCTGACCATGCTGAAAGGCGCACTGGGGTCTTTGGGAGTCAGTTTCCTGCTGTTGACTGTTCTCGGCTCATTGTGGATGGGGAACGCTCATCGTCTGGTTGTGTTTTGTGCTCCGCTGCAGACGAGCTTTGATGCGCTGAAGGAGCAGACGGCGCAGGTCGCGCTGCTGGGCGGGGAGTTCGAGATGGCTGAGCAGCTTAACAGGTATGTGGTCCGGCATGGTGGTTGCATGAGGCAGAGCGAGCCTTTGACCGTTCGCGTGGTGGTGGCTTGTTTGATAATGAAAAAAAAAAAAAAAGCCTTCGAAAACAGATGAGAGCGCAGGAGCAGAGGCAGATCGAAGGTATCGAGGAGATACAGCGTGAGTTTCTTCTTGCGTCGGTGGTGGTTTCTTTGGGCTTGGCTGACGGGGAGGACGGCGTTGGGATTTTGCAAGTGCTCCTGAGGAACGTCCTCCAGAACCAGATTCTCGACCATCTGAGGCAGCAAGGTGAGCCCTCCAGACACCGGCGCCCTTCCGAGCTCATTCTCATCCCCTCCGTCCGTCCATCATCACATGGTGCATTCGACATAAAAAGTCAACAAGGACATCGACGACATGATCGAACAGGAAATAGAAGAGCAAGTCGCGCTCCAGCTCGAGAAACACGTCCCGCAAGCGCTGCGGACCGAACTTGCAGACCAAAAGCGGCGTCTGGCGGAGCTGCAGTGGGCGTTGCACAACTCGTGAGTCGTCCTCCCACTTGACGCGCTGACCGTTCGTACGAACGAGCCGCATTGACCGAATCGGACTGACGCTTTTTTTGGATGCGCGTTTTGCAGTGAGAGCAGGCGCGCCAATGCGGGATTGAGGTCGGGCGATATTCAGGCGTCGCTTCATACGCTCTACATGTCAAATGGGCAGATCAGCGTGTTGTTCCCGAAGGATATAGCCACTCTATTGGGTCTAGACGGTGAGCTTCAGTCCATTTTATCTAGGTCGCACGTTTACTATTTTATCCATTCAATATTATTATCAATGCCCCTTTCTGCCTTGGACCTTGAACCTTGAAGGCGGCACTCTTAAACGTCTACTGCGCGATTACTCCATCCCCGACGGAATGTCTGATATACGCGAGCAGAACCTGAACACGTTCCTCCAATTCATCGGCGTGTCCTATCAAGTGGTAAGTAAGCCCCTATTTTGAGGAAAGCTATGGGGGATGTGATTGATGTGCAGATTTGGCCGACTCGGAAATGTGAAGGCGAAGCCGATGTAGTGGTATATCCGAGTCGTCCAACCGGGAGCGTTAGATCGATTTAGAGGACGAAGGAGCTTGGTTTGTGCCGTTCATGCTGTTGTTTGGCATCTTTGTTATTGGTTCATTGTACATTCGGGATTCATAATAACTACATGTACTCGTGCTTATGAAAAGTGTTCGAACGGTGTCACTCTTAGAGCGCTTTGCAATATTGAGGGCACCAAGTTTCTCGAAAAAACGTTGGAAGAGCATGGGGCTTTCTCAAGCAACTTGAAGGTCTCAAGCTTCCATTCGAGAATTGTGTTCAACCTTCGATTATGATGTATACAGTGGTCATAGTCATCCTCCCTTCTGATGTGCCCTCGCCCGGGCCCAGTTGCCTTTCCCTAGATCATACAACCCGTCTAATCTCGGAATTGTCTTTCATATGCAGATCCGTTTACTGCCTTCCAAGAGACCCGTTTCTCCCTCTCTCTCCATATCGCTCTCTCGTTTGCGAACCAAAGACTGTGATGGAGAAGCGTGGCAGATTGGTTCGTCATGGATAGGCCCTGGTGACGCAGGTGGAGGTACGGCTTTCATGATACGTGCGGACTCGAGCGGTGTTAAATCGAGTGCGACACTCTTCGGCGGAGCAAGCAAGGAGGCCACCCTGTACCGCCCACAGCGCACTGCACAGTGCAGTGGTAAGTCCTCATTTTCATCTTGTAGGTTCATCTGAATGTCATGTCTAGAAAGTAATTGTTCCACAAGAAACTCGCTTCCATGTGCTGCTGCTATGTGCAGGAGTGCCTTTCCCCGTTCGTTTCTCCAGTTGACGTTAATGTCATGTTGTGCAAGCAAGAGCCTAATGGTTGTCTCTGCCGCTGATTTTACACCATGGCCCACGTTGCCTTGAGAATTATCACTGATATCATTAAAGTCAGCTACGTCTAGCACCCCCACCGCCAATCGTACTTACTATTGATTAAACAAGATGCTGAAGGAGACTAGCTCTCACCCTCGTCATAGCGTTAGAAATCTATTAGCATCTTGGCCAAGGCGGAGCCTTTAGGTTCTTATCATATCAATCTCACAAGCGTTTTTTGGTAGCCTTTCCGAGGACGGGACTATCCTCGAGCTGGAGCAGGCCGCCAAAAGCTATGTTCACAAGAAGGAGCTTTCAACGGGACCCCCTCCCAAGAAATTCGTATGAGGAACGTAATCATAAGCAACCACGGTGCCCCCAAGCTCTCGATGCACTGACATCCTTAATACAGCTCCCCGACCCCATTCCCGATGCGTCATACATTAGCATAAACGGGATGACGGAGTTTCTGGGAGGATCTTGACGAGACCTCCTTCAGTGAAAAGGCAGTCCACACGGTTTTTCCGATGAGAATCTGCAGATAATCAGGATAGCAGAGAGGGGCGAGTGTTAGTGCCATCCTGTCAATCTCCCTTTTTGTGGCATCCTTTCTTCCCTTGATCAACTTCCTCTCATAGCACTCCTGGAGCCACATCGTGCCCCTGACTCTATCGATGAGGAGACGCGAACCTCTGCGGTGAGTCTAGCCATGCCGAAAACATCTATCCACCTATCACATTCGTATAGATCTAGATCTGTAAACAGTCGTCTCGGGCTGCTCTCAATAAATGCGAGTCGCCTTCTGCAGGTGCGAAGAATCCCGGTTCTTTATTCGAAGCAGAAAGAAAGAAAGCAAGAAAGCTTGATGCCAACATACAACGGGCGACCTGTCGCTTTTTGGCGGCATCTCCAATCGAGATCTGCCATCCCGCCTTCACACACCACATATTCGAACGGGGACGGCCACCGATCATCGAACCCCCCTCCGCGTTCCAAGCGATGAGGAGCTCAGATGGGCATACGAATTTGATTGTCAAACTCTGCTGATGGCCTACCCGACTGAGCCTGAACGGAAAATAAATCTGAACGCCTTTTCCGACTTTGTTCATAATAAGGATATTCTCGCAGCGACGGATCTCCATGGCGTGATCCCCACAAATGGCAGCAGCCTGAAGCTGTTGTCATCCGACCACAAGCACACACACCAGCAAAACACGAACGCCGCGCTGGTGTTTCACATTC